ATAGTAGGCATTTGAACCCAGATACACTGATTCTAAGGAGAAAAACTAGTTACTTCTTATAGCTTTCCTTGTAAGATTCCAAGAAAGGATTTCAAATCTAGTATTGATTCTGTGTTGTTTTGTTTTTTAATTTTGATTTTTTTTTTTTTTTTTGAGATTGGGTCTTTCTATCTTGCCCAGGTTGGGAGCTCAGGAGTCACTAATAGGCTTGATCTCTCTGCTGATGGGCATGGAAGCTTTGACCTCCTCTGTTCCTAATTTGGTCTATTTCATTCCTCTTCAGGCAATCTAGTTCCCCCACCCCCCAGGCTCGCCCCCTTAGGGACTCACCATATTGATGTCAGACTTAATACAGACACCCAATCAGCTTTAGTCTAACTGTAGCTCAGAATTCCTGAACTCAAGCTATCGGCCAGCCTGTCTCTCTGGTTGTATAGTGGTGATTACAGATGTGCACCATCACGCCTGGCTGCTCCTGTTTTATTTAGAATACTGCTTCAAATTTACTAATGCTGCAGCATAGCCTTGGCTTTTCACAGAGCCTCTGTGAGATCCTATGGGGCCCACAGAATTCATCAGGGGGCCAGAGGGGTCTAAAAACCCCCTCTTTAAAGTCGCAGCCTCCTAGCTATTTAATTAAAATTTTCCCTTCTTGTCCATGGAAAAGGACAGTGGCTGGGCCTAGGCAAATTGAGGGATCATAGAAATGCTGAGAAAGTATACAGACCAATGAAGCACAACAACCATGTTCCCTCCCAGTCTCCAGCTGATTAAGGCCAACATTTTGGGGTCTTTTTGGTGGAAAGGGGGTGCCAGGAATGGTTGGAATAATTCTTCAGTCCTCTCTTTTATGTTATGGTGGTCAGATAAGATCATCATAGAATGATGACCCTGGAAGAAACTTCAGAGGTAACATAGCCATGCCTCCTCATGTTACAAAAAAGGAAACTGAGGCCCAGAGACAGGAAGCAATTTCTCACACAGCTAGATTGGGGTGGAGAAGGAAATGCAGCAGAATCCAGGCTTTCTACTTCACTGCCCAAAGATTTTCCACATCACCCTGAGCCTGGGCAATTACATACTCTGTTTTGTTGTTATTGAGTCGTTTCAGTCACGCCTGACTCTCCATGATGCCAGTTAGGGTTTTCTTAGCAAAGATACTGGAGCAGTTTGCCATTTCCTTCTCCAGCTCATTTTACAGAGGAGGAACTGAAGCAAACAGGGCTAAGTGACTTGCCCAGGATCACACATCTAGTAAATGTAAGTATAAGTAAGAAGCTGGTTTTTAACAAAGGGCCTCCTGACTTCCAAGTGTGCCACCTACTTGCCTTTTACTAGATACTCTATAAGAAGCCCAAAATGATGAAAACCTTCCACTCATAGTGAACTGAGCTGATGTTTCTTCAATCATACTATAACTACTGAAATATTTATCATCTAAATGTTCCTGGCCCTACCCATCTTATCACTAAACCAATAGTTCTTTAGTTGTTGTAGATTAAGGTTTTCTTTATCATGCTTTTTCTTTCTCCTGGCAGTTGAGATGCCTTTCACACAGTCCTTTCCAGCCTTCAAATTCAAAGGTTTGAGGACTGCTCATGGAGAGTGGTGTAGAAGAGATGTCATTCAGGTATACGTTGGACTAGAGGCAGCCTGTGAGGTTTTTTGATTCTGGGATACCATACCAGGCACTGGGAGAGACACATAGTTTAGATTGGACATTGTCCCCATCCTCACAGACATATCAGTCTAAGCAGGGGCACATGAACACAAAAATGAATAACAGCAATGCACAATGATACATGATATGTGCATCAGAGAGGTATAAAACACAATGCTATGTGAGATCCTCCAGAGACAATTCAATTATGGGGGGAGGGAGGGGGATCAGGAAAGGCATCCTAGAGGGAGGAGGCATGTGAATGGCCTTTAAAGGTGGATTACAGTTCAGCAACAGCTGGAGGGTGGGAGGAAAGAGTGTGAGCACAGACCCAGAGTCCAGAGAGCACAGGTACTATTCATGGTCCTGCTTGGCTGGAGACCTTGAAGAACCATTAAGACGATGCCTTTAGAAACCAAGGAGTGACAGAACCCCTCGCCTGTCCTGAGACTTCTTGCAGCACAGACTGTCCTGACCCATTCCCAGCTTCAACATATACAGTGTTGTGTCCATTTCTTGGGCCACATGTTAGGAAGGATGCTAACCAATGACAGCATGTCCAGAAGAGGGCAGTCAGAAGGGGGAGGGGCTTAGAGACTGTACCCCACGGCAGGAAAGGGCTACTGAGGGACATGATCTCCACCTGGAGCAGGGAGCAGAGCTCTGGCCTGGATGTAAGCTCCCAAGTGTCCCCAATTCCACCGCTTGCTACCTATGTGATCATATAAGATGCTCTTGGTCTCTGAACCTCATTTTCTTCCTCTGTAAAATGGGCATAACCATACTAGCTCTGCCTTCCTTATGAGGTAGCTCTGAGGAAAGCATTTTGTAAACCATAAATGACTTGAGAAAGGGCAGCTTTTAATTTTTTGCTGCCATTTCTGTTTCTGTCTGGGAAGAACTTCGAAATTCAGGAAGACAAGGAGTAGAAGCAAAGAGCTTCACTAAGCAGGTATCCCAAATTCTATCGGTATCTTGGAATCAAAGGATGTTAGTAGTACTAGGGACCGTATAGATTATAGGTCCATTGTTTCACCCAATGCAGAAATCCCTGACAAGTAGTTATAACCTCTACTGTGATCCTTCCGGGAATAGGAGGCTCACTACTGACTAAAGTCATCCATTTGATTCCTTTGATTATAAGAAATTGATTAGAGGTGAGAGGGAAAGGAGAAGGAAAGAGAGAAAAGACAGAGAAAGACCAGAGGGACAGACAGAGACAGAGAGAGAAAAGAGACAAAGAAACAGAGACAAAGAAACAGACACAGAGAGAAGAAACAGTCAGAGAAAAAGAGAGGAGACAGGGAGAAAGAGACAAAGACAGAGAGAAGATACACAGAGACAGACAGAG